TCCATATGAACTCAATGTTCTCTCGTTTAAAAGAGAAAACAACAACAACAAAACAATTTCCCCAGCTCTATACACAAAAGTCCTACAAACAACTTCTTCAGTAGCAGTGAAAAATCTCAACACCCAGACTGCAATCTAAATTAGATTTCTCACTAAAAGGAACCAGGGCCACTTGGAGATACACTTGCTTCCAGGTCTGCCACAGAAAATATATATGAAGTCTTTTCCCTTATCTTCCAGAACTCTTCAGCCCTCAAGAGGCCGAGGAAGGCAGAAATCCCCACCCCAGAGATGTGTGCCCCCCAGATCAGGAAAGAGAAAGTTCAGCAAGGAGGTCAGAGCCTAAGAGGGTGGGAAGGGCATCCACAGGTGAGCAGGGGACAACCCCAGGGAGGCAGAGTGATGAGCAGAGCAAACATGCAGAGGAAAAGACGGAGTCAGGTTACAAACAGGGGCACTGATCAAGTAAATAAAGAAGCTAGGAATAATGGGAGCCAGGTTTTTCTCTGTTGAAGAGAAACATTGTATGTTCCACATACAAATATGGAACAAGAGAAAACTGAAATGGAGGCACTGTCATGGACTTACAGTCTTCACGATATACATATAGGGAAGAAAATATGTGTGTGCGCACACACATACACATGCAAATAAATCCTACCCCCAAGAGCAATAAACACACCCTAAATCTTGGCTTTTACTCACCATTCCCTAACAAATAGAACCAGGATGGAGAAATGGGGCAATGGAAAGTTCCAGATAAGACTGAGAATATCTTCTTGTGCCCAAAGCAAGGGAAGGGTAATAAGAAATAGGAACATGTTAAAAGGACACAGAAGCCAGCCTGAAGCAACAGCCACTTGCCAAACTGGGGACAATGTGAGCATCACAAGAAATGGTTATAATGGATTAAAATATTGAATAAGAAATAATGAGTCCATACTGATATAAGTAGGAAGACACATTCAGAACAGGACACTTAAATAATTTCAAAGTTCTTCCCACAAAATGTGTATAATAATGGAGGAAGGAGTAACTTTGCAGGAAAGCTTAGTACACACCACCTTTTTTTTTTTTTTT